ATATACATATATATATATATATATATATATTTATATATATATATATATATATATATATATATATATATATATATATATATATATATATATATTTATATATATATATATATATATATATATATATATATATATATATATATATATATATATATATATATATATATATATATATATATATATATATATATAGGGAAGAGTACCTTAAAGAGTGTTTGTACCTTGGCACCTCAATTGTTACCACAGCTTCACACATTTGATGTTGCAATAAAGATAAAAGTTTGTTTCCGGTACTAAAAAGTAACTTTTTTAGGATGTATTCTTTTTTTTTACAACAGTAGGTATAAACTTTATTTTAAAACTGATTATCAAAAATAGAAAAGCATGTTTTCAGCTGCATTTATGCATGCTTGAAACTGCTTAACTCCTAACCTATAAATATATGGTAGCGATTTTGTAAAAACTGTGGTAGCAGTGTATCTTAGAGGTAGCTAATGCTGTGTAACTTGGTGGAAAAAACCAAGGTAGACAACATTGTACCTTATGATTTTTTTTTTGTCTATCAAGAATTTTTTTTTGTCTATCAAAGAATTTATTATTCTTTAGAATAATATTATGTTTGTATTTCTTTGTTAAATTGTAATTATTTTCCTTAAATTGTTATTTTAAATTGTTAATTTTCTCAAATTATCAAAGAGATTATAAAACTGTGTATGAATTAGTTAAGTCAGATATGGTCTTTCAGTTGCCCATCTCTCTATTACAGGAGATTTAGCACGACAGCTGGAAAAAACTCATTTGGCATTAATTTTGATTACCTGAATGTTAAGTAGAATGCTAAATCAAAGTCAAATACTTTTTATACTAAACTTTAATGTAGATATTTATTATGCTTTTCTTAATCAACTTTATTTCTTTTCTAATTTTTTAATACATTTAAGTATAAATTAATTTAAATTTATAATGATATATAATTTCAACATAAGTATAAACTAATATATAGTTTATATAAATCTAACTAGTTAGATTAATATTATCTCTGATGTGAAGTTCAATTATCCTTTAAGTATACATTATATCAAATTTCTACCATGTTAAGTCCTTAATCTTTTAAAACAATAATATCTCCAAGGTACGTCACCGGTGGTGTATCTTGGTTGTAATGTAAGCTATTTTTTTAAATTAAAAAAAGAGATAAAAAAATATGTTTGGATGTTTAATAAAAAATCGTAAAGTAACTAATATCATAAAGTTAAAGAAAATATATTGTTACAGAACATATTGTAAGTATTTTTTTTTATTATTTGTAAAAGTTTGAAAATACCTCCGAGGTACACCACTCTCCCCTAAATATATACAAATATATATATATAAATATATATATATATATATATATATATATATATATATATATATATATATATATATATATATATATATATATATATATATATATATATATATACATATATATATATATATATATATGTATATATATATATGTATATATATATATATGTATACACATGCAGTTAAATCCCGTTAACTCGAACCCTGAATAAGCCGGACTTTTACTAAGTCGGACAGAAATTCAATTCCCCTTGAACATTCTCTATCAACTTACTGTAAAATCATTTGCTTAAGTAGTACCCTGTTAGTAGTTGGACCATTCTCTAACTCGTTATGTTTTTAGAGGTCCCTTTGGTAAAAAACTTTGCTTAACTAGGACTTTTATTTTGAATTGCATATAAGTGCACACAATAACAAAACTTCTAATACTTCAATAAAAATTCCAAACTTTAAACGTTTGAAAATAAAATACTTTTGCGTCAAATATAATTAAACATAGCTAAACATATTCACTGAGATCTTTTGATTCAGTTAAGCTCTGATTAAATTCTATTTGTTAATAACTATTACTTTATAAATTCAAAAATATCAATTAAAATTCAAAACTTAGAATGTTCGAAAACTAATTATATTTGCGTCAAACATAATTTAACTAAACATTTTTACTGATATCTTCGGTTCGGTTATACTTTGATCAAGTTTTATTTACTAAAAATGACGAAAGTTGCTCAAAGTAAGCTATCAAGTAGAACTATAACAGAAAAATACAAAATACTGAAGGAACTCAACAAACAAGAATCATCTGTATCTATATCAAAGAAATATGGCATTCTAAAGCAAACATTGTCTGAATGGTCAAAAAATATATATATACAAAATATCCTTCCACAATATAAAATATATATACAATATATCCTTGCAGTTGAAGGATATATACAATATATCCTTGCAGTTGAAGGATATATACAATATATCCTTCAACTGCAAGCCTTCCCAGGAAAGGCGTGCAGTTTTTTGTCTCATATGACCACATGCGATTATAATATTTTAGAAAACATGAACACGACCGTTTGCAAGTTTTATAATAATGCTGAAAAAGTTTCAAAAACAAAAAACAAAACTAACAAAATAAAAAGAGATTGAAATAGAAAAAAATAAAAACAAATTAATAATTTAAATAATTTGTGTACTGTTTTTATTTTTGTTTCTTTAGAGTTACATTCAGCAACAAAATTAGATAAGGCGAAGCAAAAAAAAAACAGTTTGAAGTCTACAATAATAAGAATGATTTTCCTTTTCTTAATTTTTTTTTTAAGAGGATAGCAAAAATACAAATTGCAATGTGTTTGTAAAATTTTTTTGTATAATTTTAATGTAACAACAAGGGTTGAATTAAGCAAATGCAAAACGCAAAATCTGGGAAAAAATCTAGTATTCAAAATTTTAGTTATACAAAACCGTGTTCCTTGTTTTTAACAACTTAAATTTGTTAGCGAAAAAATAAAAAATAAAACAATAAACTTACGATTACAAAAGTAATAACATTCTAGTCACTAACTGCATTACAAAAGTAATAACACTATAATAGTGTTATTACTTTTATAACACACTTATAACTTTTAAAACTCATTCTTTGTTCAAGCAACATTAATATTCCCAAATTTTAATTGAAGTAGAAAAATATCTAGAATTATAAAGTGGATGTATAAATAATATTAAAACTAAAGTAACTTATAAAAACATGACAAACAACTTTATGAAAATAAATCGTAATAAAAGTGTAGCATTATGAAAAACGTTACTAATGGAACGTAAAAACGCGCGTTAATTTTAAAATTAACCAATAAAAACTTTTTATTGGTTGATTTTAAAATTAATGCGCGTTTTTACAAAACGTTTTTCATAATGCAATATACTTTTTATAAAGTACTTTTTTATAACATTGTTTAAGTGATATGTGAAAGTTCCTGAAATTTTTAATAATATTTGAATATCCACTTTGTTTTTTCTAGATGCTTCCTACTTTAATATATGTTTGGAATTAATAATGTTGTTTGAACAAAGAATGAACTTTAAAAGTAATAAGTGCTTTATAAATGTCTGTCTTGATGTTTAAGAAAGGTCTTTTGTTCTAACTTGTAAACAATTTTGTTCTAACTTGTCCAGCACTTGATACAATTTAACATTTCAGTAAAAAATTTTTTGTTAATGTATACTCAGTGTTAGTGGCCTTGGGGTCCTTCTGTTGTTTTCAAATAAATAAAAATAAATAAATAAATGTAATAACACTATTATAGTTTTATTACTTTTATAATGCAGTTAGTGACTAAAGTGTTATTACTTTAGTCGTAAGTTTATTGTTTTTGTTTTGTTTTTTGTAACTTTCTCGCTAGCAAACTTTTAATAATTTGCTCCTTATAAACAAAGTACACAGCTATGCATGAACTAAAATTTTAAAGACCTAATATTTTACCAGAGTGCAAACGTGATCGTATAATTTAACTCTTGATATAAACTTGTTACATTTTAATTATACAAATATATTTTACAAACAGATGACGATACATTTTTTCTCTTTCCTCTTTAAAAGAAAAAACACATAAAATATGGAAGGCTTGATATATTCAGAAGTTGAAAAAATAAAAAAACTTCTGCGAAAAGAGTGCGGATGCATGTCTCTCTAAATGAGGATTTGGATAAAGCATGAAATGTCGGATAAAATGATGACAAAGCCAACGAATAAAAAAGTTCGTAAAGCAATTGATAAAGGTGAAATTGGAAGAGTAGGTTTAATTGCTTCAAAGCTGTTTGAAAAAGAATGGTGCGAGTCACTGAAACAAACATCAATTTTGGACTTTTTTTGTTCATAGTATATATTTTATATATACAAAAATATGTATTTCACATAAGATTATATTGTTCTATATTCTTCATATATATGTACATAATATATATATATCTTTATATATCATATATATCTTTATATATATGTTCGATATATTTATATATTGAAGAACATTCGATAAATCTCGATATCTCAATAAGTCAGACATTTTCAAAAAGTCTGACTTAACGAGAGCTTTGCTTAATTCGGACATTCCCTAAGTTGGACAATAAATATATACCCTTTCGGAATCCGAGTTACGGGATTCTACTGTGTATTTATATAAATATATATAAATATAAAAACAGTGTAAAATAAAAAAAAATTTCGTTAAGTGATTTTCTACTAATTTATATATATATATATATATATATATATATATATATATATATATATATATATATATATAAATATATATAAATATATATTTATATATATATATATATATATATATATATATATATATATATATATATATATATATATATATATATATATATATATATATATATATATATATATATATATATATAAATTAGTAGAAAATCACTTAACGAAATTTTTTTTTATTTTACACTGTGTTTCATCAACAAAGACTTATCAGAAATCTTTGATGCATGTTTAATTTCTGCATGTTTGATTTCTGATGAGTCTTTGTTGATGAAACACAGTTTAAAATAAATAAAAAATTTTTATAATATATAAATATTGTGTACTACAACTAAAGGTAGTAAAAACAAATTTAAGGTAAAAACAATAAAAGACCTACTATACACAGCAAGCGATGCATCACATATTATCTCCCCAACATTGTTTCGAATCCTGCATTCATACATCCCCTCATCAGTTTCTTCTACTTGTTTGATTCTCAGAAAAAAAGTGTTTCCATCATTCCAAATTTGTATGCGACCTAATGTTAATAACAGTATTCCATTTTTTGTCCAGGAAACGACTGCATCATTATCACAACTTTTTATAGTAACTTGGAACTCTGCATTGTTTCCAACAACAACATCTAAATCTGTTGGTTTACTGATGATCTCTGGATATGCATGGCTGAGTGGTGAGGGGATAGGTGTAGCTGGCATCAGCATCACATTTATGCCTTTAAATTTATAATAAATATAAAATAAGCATGAATTGAATTTTTAATTTTAATTTATTTAATAAATAACAAAATTTGACCAGATTCTTTTGTTACCAAACATCTTATTTTAGGACAACAAATAATACCATCTATAGTAGTAGACATTACTACAAGTCGCTTGTATTAATGTCTACTACTATAGATAGTAGTAGACATATTACTACAAGATTTGATGGTTGAAAGAAAAATACTAAATGTGGTAGTAAACTAGAAGTAGAAAACTTAGCTAACAATCATGAGGATCTGTGGTCAAATACACCCTACCCTACTGGAAGTAACAAGCCTAACCAGTTTTTCCACTTGTTCTGGTTTAACTAGATTTGTATTTTAGATTTAAGGGTTGAGAGATATAGTTTTAAATAATGATTTTTTAGAAATTATATCGATATATGATTTCTAGAAAATAAATGAGAAGCTTCTTCTGCTGTAGTGCCTCATAGTATATATATTTATATATATATATATATATATATATATATATATATATATATATATATATATATATATATATATACATATATATATATATATATATATATATATATATATATATATATATATATATATATATATATATATACCAGCGTGGAAAATAAGAAATCGAAGGCGAGTGGTCAAACTGACTGGCTAACACATGGAATTGACGGTCAATTGTTTTTTTTAAATGATTAAAATTTTTTTTTTATTTGTTTAAATTTTCATAGAGATAAGTTATTTTATAATTAATGGGTAAAATTTTATGTCTTATTTAGGCAGTTGTTATGGACAATTTTATGGTAAAATATTATGAAGTAGAAATAAAAATTTTAGAAAACCCCTTTTTTTTTTTGTTGGTATTTTGTTGAATTTTTTAATTATAACGTAGTAATTTTTTAATTATAACGTAGTAATTTTTTAATTATAAAGTAGCAACTATGATAATTTGTTTTCAAAATTTTCTAAAACTGTTTTATCCTGTTTTTGCTAAGCATACTGATGTTCATCGCCGTAGCAAACATTGTAAATTTTTTTTGAAATTGTATAAAATTTGTTTTTTATATTTAAAAAAAAATTCAACATTGGATTAATTGGATATTATTTAACTTTTTTTTTTGTTTTTAAGTCTCACTTGCCAAAACCTTACTAGGGCAAAAACACTCATCAAAAATAATAACCAATAAAACTTTTTTTTTTTTTTTTTTTAACATCTTCGCTTCCAACGAGGCTGCAAGCAACCACTAATTAGTGTTGGAAGTTACTGGAAGAGAAAAGATGAAGATTGTAGAGCAAGATAACGATTGACAGACAACTTAAAAGATTGCAAATTATATGAATCAGGAAAGCAAGATGAAGGAAGCAAGTTCCAAAGATCTGATGTTCGAGGAAAAAAACTAGACGAATAAGGGTTTTTGGAGCACTTAGAAACAGTAACAGAAAAAGGATGAGACTTAATTGAATGACGAGTAACACGAGAATGAATTTTAGTAGATGGCACAAGAGACGCTAGCTCTTTAGAGCAGTGCCCATAATAGTATTTGTAGAAAAGAAAGAGAAGCAACATTACGGTAATGTGACAAAGGTTGAAAGTTGGCTGCAAGAGCAGGTCCAACTATGCTTACAATGTCTTTTTGCACCTTGTGTAAAAGCGAAAGGGCATCATTAGAAGATCCGCCGCAGATATGGCGGATCTTCTAATGATGCCCTTTCTCTTTTAGACAAGGTGCAAAAAAAGTATTCCATAGAAGGCCGGATTTGAGATTTATAGAGATGGAGAATAGAATCTAGAGTAAGAAAGTGTCAAGCTCGAAAAAGAGATGCAACTTTAGCAGATGCTGATTTTGCAACGGATTTGATATAAGGTTTCCAAGAAAGATCAGAAGTGAGAGTTAATCCTAGAAGTTGAAGGGTAGATGACTCATCAAGTACATTACCATTCATAAATATAGGAAGGTCTAATTAATACGATTGGCTGAAAAAAATTAAGTTTTATCTGAATTAAAGTTCACCAGCCACTGTGAGCCCCATGCTATAGCAGAAGTGAGATTCTTTTCAAGCTCAAATGCCCCCTGCAAGCAATCAGAGGGAGTTGGCTTCTTATCGTGACAAGAATAAATGGTAGTATCATCGGCGAACAATGCCACCTTAGATGTGAGAATATCTGAAAGATCGTTAATGTAAAATAAAAAGAGTATAGGGCCAAGGATTGAACCTTGAGGAACCCCTGAAGTTACAGAATAAGAAGAAAAGTGCTATCCGTCAAGGACAACTTTTATTCTACGATTGGAAAGAAAGGATTCAATTATCTTAAAGATGTTTCCAGATACGTTTCCACCGTAAGAAAAAAGCTTATGGAGAAGACCACCATGCCAAACTTTATCAAATGCTTTAGAAATGTCAAGAGCGATGGCCTTAACCTCTCCACATTTATCTAATGCGCGATAAAATGCCATAGAACGATAAGATTGAAATCCATATTGATGATCAGAAAGTAAGTTGTTAGATTCAAGATGAGAGATTAAGTGTTTGTTAATTAAAGATTCAAAAACCTTGCTTATGATAGGAAGAAGACTAACGGGGCGGTAGTTTGACAAATCGGATCACTCTCCAGAATTCTAAAAAATAGATCGCTCTCCAGAATTTTTAAAAATAATTAAAAAAAATTTTTAATAATATTTTTTAAAAATAAACACTTATAAAAGGTAATCTAAAAAAGACTTTATTCTTTGTATTTTGTGAATAATTTATATCATAGTTGAGAGAAGGAAAAGCAAGAGATATATTATACACAAGCTCAAAAGACAAACTAACTCAAAAAACATATAGTTTTTGTTGTTTCATAAAAATAATTTAAGTAAAAGTAACATATAACAAGTTGCTTTTTATTTTGATTGCTTTTTTAAAAAAATAACAATTTTAGTCATTTCAAGCGGTCACTGACTAGACACTCCAACTAAAAAACCTAGGCTCGCCTTAATCTCTAGTACACCGTTAGATGCAACATTTTTCCTAATGCATTTCCAAAATACCATGCCTAATGTTTGAAGTCTCCAGAAAGTAGCTCCTTTTAATTACTCCTGGTCAGGTTCAGAATCATCACCAGCTAACCTTATTGCCAACTGGTAGTAAGGTTTCCTAAACTCTGTAGTAGCTCTCAGAGAGAATGATTCCATCAACAGCTTTAGTGATCCTCAAATTTCCAGGAATTTCAATTTTGGGAATATTGGGAATGAAAAAGCTCATTCCCGGGAATTAATGTTACCGGGAATGAGCTTTTCAATATTTTTTTTCTTTCTAAAATCTGAAAATTTTTAATCAAAAAATAATACAAAGAACTCAAAATTTATGTTAAATCTACTTTATTAATTTATTTCAGAAATAAGCATCGATGTTCTCAAAACTTTTGAATATTTGCGCAAAAATGTTCTTAAAAATTTTGAATATTTTGCAAGAATATTTGCTTACAAAAAACGTCATTTTTTGTAAGCAAATATTCTTGAGAACTTTGCTTTCAAGAATATTTGCTTACAAAAAACGACATTCTGCAGCTACTGATGTTGCTTGTATTGCATTCAGTCCCTTGAAAAGTCTATCCAGAGTTGGTGAGCGTACTTTTGTCTTCACATACATCTGCATCTCCTTTTTGTAGTCAATAACTTTGCCTGCTTGTTGGTGACCTCTCTTGAAGCTTTCAAGGCAAGTGTCAGTTGCTCAGCTAAACTTCTTTAAACCTGCTGTGATGCTGATGGTTCTTCTTGCTGTTCAGGTTGTTCCACACAATCATCATTTTCAGTACTGAAGTCTTTCCATCAGTTTCACTGCAAGTTTGCTCATAGCTACAACAGTCGTTGAAGCAAAGTGATTCGGCCCATTGATGCTGTTGATGTTGTGCAAGTAAAGGATGAGTGATTGAAGAATGTCATGTCTGCATTTGTTGGTTTTCTCTTTGATAGCCAAGAAGATGTCCTGCGAGAACTGATAATCATACATTTCTAAATTGTCCGAGAGAAACTTGATAATTGTGTTGCAATCGATGAGATTTACTGATTTCTTTGACAAGAATTGAATTGCCAACTTCGCTAGACTCAGAACTTCTACCAGCTCCTCCTTTGGACTTAGAACTTCTACCAGCTCCTAATCTTTTTGAGTCGATATCTGCCCATAAGTAGGTTTTGTCAATCTCCCTGTGGTTCAGAGCTTCCTTCACAGGTCCAAGTAGCTTCAAGAACCTTTCGCAAGCATCATGAAGGCTGCCCCAACGAGTCTTTGAATCTAACTTCAGCTTAAGTTCTCTTCCGTTGTTAATCCTCTTAACAAATTTTTGAAGAATTTCATTTTTGACCAATGATCGATGGAAGAGGCTCACTATTTTTCTCAATTTAGTGATTGTTGATTGATAAGCGAAAACCATTTGAAGTGAATTGGCCTCCTCTTCATTGTCTGATTCTGTGTCTTCGCCGGCATCAGGTACATCTTTATCAGGTTTATTTTCATTTCCACACTCAACAAAAAAGATATCATTGTCGTCATCCACTGGAGCATCTGCTGACTGTTTCTTTAGATAAAGAACTTTAGTAACACCCAGATAAATTCCATGATCGCTGCACTGGAGGTATTCTGATGCGATCATAGAACCAAATGATGCCATAGCGCTCACACCATCACCAGAAGTGGCAACAATATGTTTCTTTGGATTCAAGCCAAATTCCATCAATCTTGCTTCGAACTGTTAATAAAAAAATAAAAAATAAAATGATTAGAAACCTAAAAAAAGAAAAAGATTATAATATCAACTTACTAGTTTTTTGATGTTAAGAGCAGTTGCACTTCCATAAATTGGAACCATGCCCAAAATGATTTTTTTATCAACACCATTTTCAAAATATTGAAGATTAATGTTCAAGAAACTTCTGCAGTAGAAGTCCATTCATCAAGGATTGTTGAAAAGAAATCTCCTTCAGCTAGATGAGTTTGAATCCACAATTTTATTTTAGCTTTGATGTCTTCATGAAAACCTTGAACAATCTTTGTAACACCAGATCCATTCTTTGGGAAGTTTTTCGTTGGAAACTTCTCTTTCACATGCTCTGCTATTATATCTGAGTTGACAATTTGTTCGAAGTTCAATCCATTTAAAGCAACTTCTTTAGAAATGGTTTCCTCAAACAATGCTTTAGTAAAATCTCTCATCAACTTTTGCCTCTTCACTGGAGGATTGTCAGTGCTGCTTGTGCTTGGTTGAGCTTGGTTGCTAGTTGTCGGTCCAGATTTCAATGGATCAAGTATCTGATGAACACGCTTTGGATTTTCTATCAAACCCTTCATTGAACCTCCAGCACAATTGAGAACAGCACTACACTTTCGATTGCTTAATTCTACGCCACAGCGTGCTTTATCTTTGTTGCCCGTTTTCCTTTTGAAGTGCTTCCACACAAAAGACATGCTATTTAAAATTAAATGATAACATATGAAGATAAAAGAAATGAAGAAAAAAGAAAAGAAATAAAAAAAAAAAGAAAAAGATTTAGAAAAAGAAATAACATAATATGTACTATATTTACCTTTGATAATTTGTCAAGAAAATCTTTTTCACTTTCTTTTAAAAAAACTTGTACAATGCACTTTACACTTTAAAAAATATTGCATAACTAATTACTAATTAATTTTACGCGTTTTTACAACGTTTTTATAAAGTTGCTTTCTTGTGTGTCTGTCTGTCTGTCCATCCGGTTAGAATCTTTGAAGCGATATTTAACCCACTTCTCGACCAGCTAGAGCTCTGAAATTCTCAAGATAGCTCAGAACCCGATGACAATACAATTTAAAACCATTTCCAAGCTTCTTCAACAAATATTTCTCAATTTTTAACAAAATTTTTAACAAAATTTAATTTTATATGGAGAAAAAAACAAACACAAGGTCAGCGGTAATAATTAAAGAAGTACGCCAAACTTTAATTTAGCGTTAATAAAATAAATTGTTTAGAAATGTAATTTAAAATAATCTACAATAAAAAGAATAAATCTAAAAAGTATAAAATATTAAAAATAATAAAAAGCAAAAAAATAAATTTTTCTACAAGCAACGTTTTTCTAGCGTTCTAAAAAGTAGAAAATAATTTTTCTTTGAGCTTGTCAGAATGTCTGGTTATATTCCTCTTATCATGATGACAGATTTTATAACAAATTTGATACACGTATTACGAAAAACGTTGGGCGCATGTCATAAGATATAAGAGTTGTGATTGACCAACATTAATGGTTTCGTTAATCATACATCAGTGCAATATATCTACACTGTGCCCAACATTTTTCGTAATACGTGTATCAAATTTGTTATAAAATCTGTCATCATGATAAGAGGAATATAACCAGACATTCTGACAAACTCAAAGAAAAATTATTTTCTACTTTTTAGGACGCTAGAAAACTGTTGTTTGTAGAATAATTTATTTTTATTGTTTTTATTATTATATTGCAATAATTGCACCACCAACTACAGGTAGACTTTAGAGTAAAATATATGAAGATTCGTTTTGATACTCTATAAGAACATTCTAACCTCCAATTATTATCTGATCTTCTTTCTGTTATTAACAAAATCTTTGATAAACAAATTTCTCATATCCCATCTTGAGTAAAATAACTTACAGTCAGATAAGGTTTTTAATCCTCTCACTATACATCTGACTTACTAACTGTGACTGAAAGATTTTATTGAGCATTATGGAGGCGGAGAGGCTAGGGCTATTGCTCTTGACATATCTAAAGCTTTCAACAAAGCTTGGCATACTGGTCTTCTTCATATATTTGTTTTATATGGTGTATCTAGGAAAGTTTTTGAGATTATTAAATCATTTCTTTCTAACTGCTTTATTAAAGTCATCCTCAGAGGCCAAAACTTTTCTTTATTTACAGTAACTTCTGTGATACCTCAAGTTCCTTCTTTTGTCCTGTTTTGTTTCTTATCTGCATTAATGATCTTCCAGACAACCTTACATCTAAAGTAGCTCTTTTTGTTGATGACTCAACTTTATACTGCTGTCTTGACAAAAAAGTCTTCCTTTTTGATTGCTTAAAACAGGCTTGTAACAGATTGGGGCTTGCAGTAACTTATTAGTTTTAACTTTAACAAAACTCAATTTTTTAATATTAATCCTTGTAAAAAAAACTAAATTACAAAAACAAAAATAGCTAAACTTACAAAATAGGAAATAAAAAGAAATTTAAATATAAAAAAATTAAAACAAATTGATAATTTAAATAAATTGTGTACTGTTTTTATTTTTGTTTCTTTGGAGTGGTTGTTATTTTGCAACAAAATTAGATAAGGCAAAGCAAAAAAAAAAAAAGAAAGAAAGAACAGTTTTAAATCTATATTAAAAATAACTACTTTCCTTTATTTTATTTTTTAAGAGGAAAGCAAAAATATAAATTGCAATGTGTTTGTAAAATACATTAGTATAATTTTAATGTAACAAATATATCTTGTTTCTATATGAAAACGTCTATGTAATGCATGTATATACTTTTATGTATAACTTTTTGTGTTATATAAATATATTTATTTGTTCCTATTAATATGCACATTTAGCTTATTTGGGTAAGGTGTTAACTCTGCAAAAGAAATATCCCTTGGTTGAGACCCATCTCTACCTTAATTGTTTTTGTTTTTTTTCCACACATATACAGCTGAGTGTTAAGCAGAAGTCTCCGCTAAAAGATTAGGGATAAAAAACCTAAAGGAAAAGAAAGGTAATAAAACTTAAAAACTATGTATATATGTGTGTGCGTTTTACTTAAAAAATACACTGAAAGGCTTAAATGGTATAAAAAATCTGAATGTGATGAGATGTGTATCATTCAGAAATATATCGCAAAATGATTGTTTATATACAAATAAAAAAAAGGTGAATGGTTACAAAGCAAATATATGACCAGCGGTATTAAAAAAAAGATTGTACAGTTGTATAAATCGAACCACAGACATTTCATGTATGAAGTTTACACCTTAAAAAATAAGTAAAACGTGTATTTATTAACTTTTTGTATTATATAACTATAATTATTAAATAATTATAGTTATATAATACAAAAAGTTACGCTTTAAAAGTATACGCAAACATTTTTTATAATGTATATATAATTTATGCTACATTAAAATTATACAAATATATATTTTACAAACAGGTGGCAATTTATATTTCCGCTTTTCTCTTTAAAAACAAAACATAAAATATAGGAAAATCATTCTTTAAAACTGTTTTTTTTTTTTTGTTTTTCATTGAATTTTGTTGCTGAAAATAAAAACTACTCTAAAGAAATTAAAATAAAAACAGTACACAAATTATTTAAAGTTATACTTTTTTTATTTTTCTAATCAAGTTTATTTTAGTTTCCTATTTTATTAGTTTTGGTCTCTTTGTTTTTGAAACTTTTTTTAGCAACACTTAATATAATCAAACTTCCAAATGGCCAAAACCACGTTGTCTAAAATAAAATACTAATGCGTGGTCATACAATAAAAAAAACCACACACGTTTACTCACCTAAATTTTTTCCTTGCACTTCAACCCTTTGGAAATCTCTCATATCTTTATTTTTTCCTGACTCCTGATTCATTTTTACTTTAAAATATCATATGCTGTCTAATATTTTTAAAGATATTTTCTTTTTTAAATATCATAAGTGTTAAACAAAACATTTGTTCCTTATTTATCAGGCACCAAAAACTTTATTAAAACAATCCGAATTCTCTATAACATACCGAGTACCATATATGTGAAACTCATTTCCTACATTTTTTTTATTATTATTTGCATTCACTCCCAACAAGGCTGCAAGCAACCACTATTAAGTTGGGAGTTACTAGGAAAAAAAAGAACAGAGTTATAGAGCAAAGAAACAGTTAACAGAAGACTTGAAAAGTTGAAGGTTGTATGAGTCAGGAAAACATGAAGATGGGAGATAGTTCCAAAGGATTGAAGTGCAGGGAAAAAAACTAGATGAATAAAAGTTTTTAGAGCATGCAGGGACAGATACAGTAAGTGAATGAGACTTAGCTGAATGACGAGTAAAACGAGAATGAATTTTAGTTGATGGAACAAGAGATGATAACTCCTTTGAGCAGTGACTATGATAGTATTTGTAGAAAAGAGAAAGAGATGCAACTTTACGACGATAGAAAAGAGGCTCAAGTTTAGCAGATAGTCCAGGTCCAACAACATCTACAATGCGTTTTTGAGAGATGGAATGTTAGATCTACCCTTGTTAATAATGCTGTTGAAGATTTTCCAAAAGTCTTTAGAGCCTAACTTCTGCGATAAGATTTAGTGAACTGAGAATAATGGAGTTTAGCATCAGAAAGCACCTTTTTACATTGATTTCTTGCAATAACAAATACCCGTTTGTTCTCAAGAGAGTTGTTCTTTTGAAAAAGATGAAAAAAATGATTATGATTGGATATAGCAGCCGCATAAGAAGGAGAAAATCATGGAGTAGAATGAGGCTTGACTTGAACAGTAAATAACAGTAAAACTTTCAATTTAATCTTTTAAAAGTAAAACTTGCAATTCAAACTTTTAACTTTTAATTGCAACCCTCAACTCTTTAAGTCTTCTGTCAACCTTGCTCTATAACTCTTATTTTCTTACTTCCAACTTAATAGTGGTTGCTTGCAGCTTTGTTGGGAGTAAATCAGATCCATATATATACATATATACATATATATATATATATATATATATATATATATATATATATATATATATATATATATATATATATATATATATATATATATATATATATATATA